CAAAAAAAAAAAAAAAAAAAAAAAAAAGAGGCCAGAATACCATGTTTCTCACAACTCTAGAAGCCCTTACAGATTGTGGCTCAAGGGAAGGCTGCAGAATGCTCAGATCAAACAAGTGGATCGGCTTGGAGCAAACAAGTGGATCGGCTTCTGCCTCTTCCTACCCTTTCTACCAAGTGTACACACAGACCACGTCTGAGGATGGGTCAAGAAACTGCCAGAAGATAAAGATCATGACACTGCATGGGCCATTTGGTTTCACTGTCTAACAGAACAAGAAACAATACTGCTCTGACAGTTTGCTTTGTTTACAGTCATTCAAGAATTTACTTGCAAAATAACACTCTCATGTCTTAAGGATAAAACACATGTATTTTATTTTAGGTGACATAGCACTGGTTTGTGAAGCTAAGCAGTGATGGTGAATAATAACTGGTGTGGTTGCTCTGAACAAGGCCAAGAAAGTTGGCAAATTGGGTTCTGAAATCAAATTCATAAAATCTCCCTGATATGCATCTTTGCTTTTATGATATATTAAACAGTCCTAATGAAAGATACAAGGCTGGTTGTTGCTTCTAATATTATGCTAATCTCCCTATGTTTTTATGGTTCTCCACTCAGTTTACCACAGGAAGAATGCTGACCAGGCTCTGACTTTACACAAACTCTAGGAAAACCTTAAGAATGAGCAATCTAAAGCCAGGCTTGGTGGCTCAGCCTGTAATCCCGTGCCTTTGGGAGGCCGAGATGAGTGGATTGCCTGAGCCCGTGGGTTCGAGACCCGCCTGGGCAGCGAGACCTCATCTCTACAATAAATCAAAAAAATCAGCGAGGCATGGTAGCGCATGCTTGTAATTAACCGAACGTGGTGGCGCACGCCTACAGTTCCAGCTACTTGGAAGGCTGAGGAGGAAGGGTCACCTGAGCCCAGCAGGTTGAGGCTATGGTGGCCGTCAGCATGCCACTGCTCTCTAGCCGGGGTAAGAGTGAGACTCCAACACATACAAAGATTTATCCGCCTGGGCAGGCGAGACTTCATCTCTACAATAAAATCAAAAAAATTAGCCGGGCGTGGTAGCGTGCGCCTGTAATTACGGCTACTCGGAAGGCTGAGGCGGCAGGATCGCCGGAGCCCAGCAGGTCGAGGCTGCGGTGGCTGGGAGTGGCCACTGCACTCCAGTCTGGGTGACAGAGTGAGACTCCAACTCAAAAAAAAAAAAAAAGAATGAGCAATCTGGACAGAGCCCATTTCCAAACACCAAGAGAAGTTGCCTAAATACTCAAATCTAACCTTTCTCTCTGCTCAGGGTCAAAAACCTAGCTTAGTTACAGAAATTAAAGTCTTTGACAACTCAATGTAAATTTCACAGAGAGCATTTCAAACCATATTCAACTTAGATACAGTTTAGTGCTGCTCCCTATGTTTTGTGAATTAAATGACAAGGAGAAATAACTGAATTTCAAATTATCTGGGCTTAGTTTATTAACTCCACTTAGCAAACTGTCAGTATGAATAGCAAGAAATTACATTTATTTTGGCACCTACTATATGCCAGTCACTGTTTATATATATATATTTATTTTTTTTTGGCAACGTGGTCTCTCTGTTACCCAGGCTGCAGTGCAGTGGCATGAGAACAGCCTCAACCTCCTGGGCTCAGGTGCTCTCTCCCAAGATGGAACTACAGGCCTGCGTCACCAAGCCCAGCTAATTTTTTTGGATGTTTTGTGGAGACGAGGTCTCGTCATGTTGCCTAGGCTGGTCTCAAACTTCTGGGTTCATGCAGTCCTTCTGCCTCCGTTTCCCAAATTTTTTGAGATTACAGGTGTGAGCCACTGTGTCCAGCTTATTACATACTTTTTTCATTATACATACAGTCTATAGTAACCCACGCTAAAATGGATAAAATGCACATAAAAATAGGAGAAAACACCATAAAAATGGGGATCCACGTGGCTTTTCCTTTCTATGTTGCATATCCCAGCCCCACCTTTCTTCTCTCCTTATCTTTGATACTCAGTCACACTTAGTTTCCAGATGGCCATCTTTCTCTCATGCTTTCTTTCTTTTTTTTTTCTTCTTTTTTTTTTTTTGAGAGTTGGAGTCTCAATCTGTCGCCCAGGCTAAAGTACAGTGGTATACTCACAGTCATCCCAGCATTGATCTGCTGGGCTCTGTCGATCCTTCTACCTCAGCTTTCCAAGTAACTGGAACTACCATGCCTGGCTAATTTTATTTATTTATTTACTTACTTATTTTTTGAGTTGGAGTCTCATTCTCTCACCCAGACTGGAGTGCAGTGGCCGCTCTTGGCTGGAACTATAGGCGCGCACTACCACGCCCGGCTCATTTTGATTTATTGTAGAGATGCGTTATCTCCAAGTTGTCCAGGCAGGTCTCGAACCCGTGGGCTCAGGCAATCCACTCACCTCAGCCTCCCAAAGGCATGGAATTACAGGCTGAGCCACCGAGCCCGGCTTTTATTTTTTATTGTAGAGATGAGGTCTTGCCAAGTTGCCTGGGCTGGCCACAAACAAGTGGGCTCAGGCAAACCACTTGCCTTGGCCTCCCAAAGTACTGGGATTACAGGCTGAGCCACTGAGCCTGGTCTCTCTTTTTTTTTTTTTTTGAGTTGGAGTCTCACTCTTTGTTGCCCAGGCTGGAGTGCAGTGGCTCGCTGCTCATAGCCACCGCAGTCTTGACCTGCTAGGCTCAGGCGATCCTTCCACCTCAGCTTTCCAAGTAGCTGGAACTACAGATGCACGCCACCATACCCGGCTAGTTTTTGTGATTTATTGTAGAGACGAGTTCTCACCAAGTTGCTCAAGCTGGTCTCGAACCCCTGGGCTTAGGTAATCCTCTCGCCTCGGCCTTCCAAAGTGCTGGGATTACAGGCTGAGCCACTGAGCCCAGCCTCTGTTATGTTTTCAACACAAACAAAAACTTCTCAAGAGCTTTAAAAATGTCTACTAAAAACCAGTCTTTTAACTGGCCTCCTGGCTTCCAGTTTCCTCCCCATTTTTCCTGTCCTGGATATCACTACCAAACTCACTCTCCCAAGACACCCCTTCATCATGCAACTCCTTAAGTTCTTTCTGCCTCTCATGTAACAACTGCCAGCGGGACATTAAGGTGCTCCACATGATCATTCCAATCTCTCTAATCCAGGCACGTCCCCCAGACAAACATCACCATTCCTTCTCCTTTATTCTCTTTAACTCCTACTTCTCCCTCTCCAAGATCCAGGCGCAAAACCTCTGGAGATACCACCATAATCATACACTTCCATTTTATTTAGAATTCAGAGTCCAATAGGGCTTCACATTATAAATATTTTTTTCATTATGGAGATATAATTCACATACCATAAAATTCACCCTTTTTTTTTTTGTGTTGGAGTCTCACTCTATCGCCCAGACTGGAGTGCAGTGGCCGCTCCCGGCCACCGCAGCCTCGACCTGCTGGGCTCCGGCGATCCTTCCGCCTCAGCCTTCTGAGTAGCCGGAATTACAGGCATGTGCCACCACACCTGGCTGATTTTTTGATTTATTGTAGAGATGAGGTCTCGCCAAGTTGCCCAGGCGGGTCTCGAACCCACAGGCTCAGGCAATCCACTCACCTCAGCCTCCCAAAGGTGCGGGATTACAGGCTGAGCAAAATCACCTTTTTAAAGTATGATTCAGTGAGGTTTTTTTTTAAAGCATATTTACAAGGTTGTGGCGGCCCAGAAGCAATCCCATACATTTTTGGCGGCCCAGAAAGCAATCTCATACATATTAGCAGTCACTCCTCATTTCCTCCTCCCCTAAGCCCCTGGCAACCACTAAGTTATTTTCTGTCTCTATGGATTTGCCTATTGTGGACATTTCATATAGGCGGAATCATATATGTGATCTTTTATGACTGGCTTATTTCTTAGTACAGACTTTTCAAGGTTTATCCACGTTATAGCATATATCAGGACTTTTTTTCCTTTTCATGGCAGAATAATATACCAAATTTTGTTTATGAAGTTCATCAGCTGATAGACATTTGGGTTGTTTCTACTTTTTTGGCTATTAGGATCAATACTGCTGTGAACATTCATGTACAAGTTTTGGTGTGGCTGTATGTTTTAACTTCTTTTGAGTCTTTTTTTTTTTTTGAGTTGGAGTCTCACTCTGTCGCCCAGACTGGAGTGCAGTGGCTGCTCCCGGCCACCGCAGCCTCGACCTGCTGGGCTCCAGCGATCCTTCCGCCTCAGTCTTCCAAGTAGTCGGAATTACAGGCATGCGCTACAACGCCCAGCTGACTTTTTGATTTATTGTAGAGATGAGGTCTCGCTGCCCAGGCGAGTCTCGAACCCGCGGGCTCAGGAAATTCTTTTGAGTCTTAACTTCTACTTAGGAGTTGATTTGCTGCGTCACATAGTAGTAACTTTATACCTAACTTTCCAAAGGACTGCCAAGCTGTTTTCCACAACAGCGACACCATTGTACATTGCCAAAAGCAAGGTATCAGAGTTCCAATTTCTCCACATCCTGGCCAACACTTCTTATTGTCTGTCTTTTTATTATGGCTGTCCTAGTGGGTATGAAGCAGCATCTTTCATGTCAGTCAATATCTCTTGATGCATCCCTGTCTCTCCTTTCTCATTGGCACCACCCCAGTCCTGCCCTCACAGCTTCAACCAGAAATTGTTGCTGTCCCCCTTGCAACTAGTTTCTTTCTCTTCCAATCCACACGTCAATGAACTCTCAGTTTTCTTTTGTAGTACCCTCCCCCCATACATGCTTAAAAATAAATGGCATTTAGAAAGCAAATCTAGGTGCTGTTTAATTAATCGTTTTATTCTCCAAAAACATATTACTATAAAGAAATTTAACTTACATTGATTCTTCCTTAGGTGCTGCCTTGGCCAGAATGTCTTCCTGTTCCTTCATTTTATCTACAGCCTGAGCTTGTTTTTCAATTTCATTAAAGCATGTATTCACCAGCTTCTGGGCTCCCAAACTTCCTTTTTTGGTCCCAAGCTAAAAGATATATAAGAAATAGTCTACCCAAGCTGCTTAAAAACTTTTGTAACTACAGCTAACATTTACTGGTGCTTATGACCTGCCAGGTAGTGACAAGCATTTACATCTGTCCTCTGGCTTAGTTCTCACAACTTTGTGAAGTTCGCATTATTATGGTCATGCCTCAGTATCTGCAGAGGATTGGTTCCAGGATTCCCACAAATAGCAAAATCTGCAGATGCTCCAGTCCCTTATATAAAATGGCATAGTATTTGCATATAACCCATGCACATCCTCCAGTATACTTTAAATCATCTCTAGATTACTAGTAATACCTAATACAATGTAAGTGCTATGCAAATAGTTGCTAATATTATATTTTAAATTTATTATTATTATTTGAGTTGGAGTCTCACTCTGTTGCCCAGGCTGGAGTGCAGTGGCATGTTCATGGTCACTGCAGCCTTGACCTGCTGGGCTCAGGCAATCCCTCTGCCTCAGTCTTCCAAGTAGCTGGAACTATAGGCATGCGCCACCATGCCCAGCTAATTTTTGATATATTGTTGAGATGAGGTCTTGCCAAATTGCCCAGGCTGTTCTCGAACCCGTGGGCTCAGGTAATCCTCTCACCTTGGCCTCCCAAATGCTGGGATTATAGGTGTGGGCCACTGTGCCTGGCCCAACTTGTATTATTATTGTTGTATTCTTTTATTTTTTTTTTGAGTAAAGGTTTCACTCTGTTGCCTAGGCTGGAGTGCAGTGGCACGATTACAGCTCACCATAACCTCAACCTCCTAAGCTCAGACAATCCTTCACCTCAGTCTCTCGAGTAAGTGGTACTACAGGCATGTGCCACCACACCTGGCTAATTTTTTTGATTTTTTGCAGAGATGAGGTCTCGCTATGTTGCCCAGTCTGGTCTAGAACACCTGAGCTCAAGCAATCTCCCTCCCTAGCCTCCCAAAGTGCTGGGATTATAGGCATGAGCCACTGTGTCTGGCCTTTTTTTCAAATATTTTTGATCTGTGGTTGGTTGATTCCATGGATGAGGGAACTAAAGTTCATTCATGCAAGTTATGCAACAAAGCCAAGATCACACAGCCAATAAGTGGCGAGGTCAGGATTCAAACCCTGGTACTTGTCTCCAAAGCTGGTGCTTTGAAACACATATCTGTATTTGAAAGTTCACCAGACAACTACCTTCTAGCCTCGCAAGACATCATTGCTTATAGAACTACACAAGCAAGAGAAAAACTCCCAAGGGGCCTTTGTTAATTTTTTTTAGAATTTTGTCATAGACAGAAGAAATATTTAATTCACTAAGTATAACATTAATCTCTTTGAACAAAACATATACTCTTTATATCAAAGCCACATTTATTATAATATGACTCAAAATAAAAAAATAAAACTAAAATGACCAAGTGGCTTTTTAGTTTTAAAACCAAACTATGGGCAATCGCCTCGGGTCTCCTCCCACTGTGGGAGTTTTTCTGTGATCTCAATAAATTCTGTTTTAAAACAAAACTACTAGATATTTTATACATAATTGCATAATACTCACTCCTTTTTTAGCTTGATTTGGTTTCTTTTTTATGATAGAAGAAACCTCTGCCAAAAAATAAAAATGAAAAAGTCAGACCGATAGAAATCATACATATTTTTCTTTTTTAGAGTCTTTTAACATGCTAAGATACTGTACATTATTGCTTAAGAGATAACATTTTCCACACAAGTTTGTTATCCAGAAGACTCAAGTATATGGGCAAATGTTAGATGAACACAGCTTCAGCCAAATGGAGAACTAAATGTTTCCATGTGGTAACCAACTCAGAGAAAACGTATTTTTGAACACCACACTGAAGAGAAATAGCATGAGCTTGCTCCATTCAGCACTTCAGAAGCACGTACAGATGCCTATTAGAACAAACTCTTCTATTAAGCTCTCCTCCACAAAAACTTTGAAAATTATTATAAAATATCAAGTTAGTCAGGCATTATGTATACAACTAAAGCAATGAGTGATGTATTTTTACACTTTTGTTTTATATAGATTTTACCATATTAGCCAAAAGAAATATAAAGCATTCTATTATTTTAGTAGCAGTACTTTCTAAATTATACAAAAATACATGGTGCTTTTATAGAAAGTTTCTTAAAGATCATTTTCTGAGTACATTTTAATCTTAGGTTTCTAAGAAATTTAGGATGTTTAAAAACCCAGCAAAAATAAAATCTTACTTTTTCTTCTAAAGACAAGAATGTACTTTGATAGGAAAAGACAACAAAAACTCACAAATAGCAAAAGGTTACAATTTTTAGCCCTACGGAGAAAATACCATCATTACATTTCATGTGAAAAAGATATCCACGGGAATTTTTCTCTCTATCGCTTTCTTTTAGATTTGTATTGTAGTAGTCACCTAACCCGTTCCCAATCTCTGATGAGTTTAATACATGATGAAAATGTCAAGAACATTTCTAACAGTTATATTTCCCCAAAGCAGCTGCTTTCCAATTAATGTAATATAACATGTACCAATTTGAAATTATAATTCTCCGATAATGAAAAATTAAAGTTCACCTTCTGTAAAATCAGAAAGAGAAGAAAATGCTGAGTTCTTGAGTAAAAAGGAATAGTGTGGATGTTCTGACCACTGCTTATTTTGGGAATATAAACCAGCCAACATAAACCAGCCAGTAAAAAGCACCTATAAGAATCCTGGCTGCGTGTACAGATTGCGGCATTTCATATCCATTAATCTGACTAAAATATAGCAACTTTTGCTTAATAAAATCACATTAATAGATTCAATCATGATGTTCTTTTATTTTTTATTTTTTTTATTATTATTTTTTTTTGAGTTGGAGTCTCGCTCTGTCGCCCAGACTGGAGTGCAGTGGCCG